CCCCCCCCCCCCCCCCCCCCCCCCCCCCCCCCCCCCCCCCACAAAAGCGAACAGCTTAACATCTGCCCTCAAGCAAGACCAAGGGAAATTCTTGCCAGACTTTCAGAATTAAGCCTTTCCTTTAGGCATTCAGCAAACATCACCCCAAACCACCAAAACCTAGACCCTAGGGAAGGAGAGATGAAAACAAATATACATTCCTGGCCCTCAAGGGGCTTAGAGTCGACATATCAGTGCATAGATGCCATAAAGTGTTAGGGATGAAAATCAGAGCAACAATAAAATGCCATTAAAAAAAGCTTTTGTGGGCGGGGGGGGGGGGGGGGTTCCTGACTGGCTTAGGCTAGCAGCGTGGAGCCTGCTTGGGATTCCCTCTCTCTCCCTCTCGCTCTGACCCTTTCCCACACTCTCTCTCTCCCTCCCTCCCCCTCTCTCTCAAAAATAAACTTAGGGGGGAAAAAAAAAAACAATGGGGTTGGCAAAAACTCTTCAAAAGCATGAAAACGACAACAACCAGGGCTGGTGAGCATGAGGGAAAATGGGCTCTCTCGAACGCGGCTGGGGCGACCAGAAATTGCTACAGCCTTTCGGAAAATAGATCTGTCGATACCGACTACAATTTAATCCATACCCATTCCCTTGACCAAGACACATTAATTTAAGAGGCTTACTCTCCAAAGTGAAAAGTGCCACAGGGTAGGGATATGAGTATGAGAAGGTTTCTTAGAATCCTGTTCGGAACAGCAAACAAAGAAACAAAAAGCTGGAAGCTTGGACGCCCTTGATACGCTCTCAGCACGCAATTTTAGGCAGTCATCGCAGAGAATAAATTAGCTGCAACTCTAGTGGCCCAAAGAGACAGTCACAACACATTGTGAGTGAGAAGATTTTCTTTTTACAAAGAACCGTGACCCAAAGTGCGTCATATACCAGCCTGCGGTTGCGTAAATACCTGTAGGCTCGTGGAGAACAACGCCGATCACGTTGGTTGTCCTTGGGGGACCTGGGAACTGGGGATGAGGGAGGAGAGGGGTGAGGAGACACGGGGGCCGTGATGAAACCGGGGATGGAAATGTCCCGTCACCTGCACTGTCCAACGTGTTAGCCCCTCATCACCACCTACGGCTGCTGCCCGCGTGAGATGTGTGTGCACAACTCGGGAGCTGAACTGTAAGTCTTGTTCGATCTTCATTAAACCTAAATACTGCGAGTGGCCACCGGCGACTGGATTGGGCAGCAAAATTCTGAAGAATCTAAGAGACAGTGCGGACCCAACATGAGACATATCACTGTCACCAGGAAAGCAAGGAGCATCAGGAAATCCTTAGGCTTTGCGTAACGATGCCCTCGCCCCAAGCCAGACAGATTTGAGTGGCCTGCAGACAGAAAGACAACGACCCAACAGGGACATAAGTCCCCAAAACGAACACTCGGTCGCAGATGGACGCAACTTTTTTTTTTTTTTTTATTTCAGATGGACACAACTTTTAAAAATCCCACACCTGGGGCGTCTGGGTGGCTCAGTTGGTGAGCGCCCAGCTCTCGACTTCGGCTCAGATCACGATCCCAGGGTCGTGGGATCGAGCCCGGTGTCAGGCCCCGTACTGGGCACGGAGCCTGCCTAAGATTTTCTCTCTCCCTCTCCCATTCGCTCTCTGACTCTCCAAAAAAAAAAAAAAAAAAAAAAAAACCCACACCTGGAAAAAAGAGGGAACTTTACACGAAGACACCTAACAAAGACCAGTTCAACCGGGCAGTGAAGGTTAGTATCAGCAGTGATAAGTCACGTCCGTACTTGACAGGGCCTTCTCGTGATACGAGAACGCTGAGAGGACCACGTCACCTCCACGGTCTTCCTCCCCGGATCCCCGAACCCCATCCTACTCATGAGAACAAAACAAAACACAACACAAAATCCACGGCCGGTACTATTTGAAACTGCCAAGGGCATGGAAAGCAAGGAAAAGTCTGGGGAATGTCACAGCCAAGAGGGACTTAAGGAGACAAGGACAAAACATAGCGCGTGCCCCTGGATGGGACTGCGGGGCAAAGGAAGAACCAGGAGGTCTGAATAGAGCACAGACTTCAGGGAGTAACAGGGTATCGATATCGGATCAATAATCGTTTTTTTTAATTTTTAAAAAAATTTTTTTTTAACATTTTTATTT